ATAATACCTACGGCCACCAATGTCCTTCCTCCACCTCATCTTCCAAAGAGTACTACGAATTCAACTGCAGTAACAGCCCTGCTTTCCACCTTCCCTTCAACCTCAACAAGCGCAGTAAGCACAGTCATCACCATGCACCTGCAACTGACGACGACGTTTTAATGGTGAACGCTGCTGTGTTGAAGGCGTTGGAGATGATTCAGAGTGAAACGGCGTCGCCTGCTTTGCCTGGATTTGGGAGAACTCCTACGGTGAGGCAATTAAGGGTAACTGATTCGCCGTTTCCTCTTAGAGATGGAGAGGGTAACAGTCACGTGGATGAGAAAGCTGATGAATTCATTTCAAGATTCTACAGAGATTTGAGACGAGAAGCTTCTGCTTTTGCTTAATGTTTGTCGCTTTTGGGAATTCATGCATGTGGTTATAGCCTCTGCAAAAAAACAAGATCATTTCAGAAATTTTTAGAAGAAAGCACAAAAAGAAAATAATGTTAGAATATAAATGTGATAATACCCTCTTCGGTAATTTGTTTTTTGCTATAATACTTTCAAGGCTGGAGTCCTGAAATTTTGCATCCACAAAAAATCTCTCTTATTTTAATTGTGGAGTAGTTGTTAATACAGTCAAACCTCTCTATAACAGCCTCGTTTGTTCCGAATATTTTTGGATATTGTAGGTAAATGTTGTTATAGAGAGTATATATTATAACATAACATAAAATTTGATTTCGGAAAAACTTGACTTTTAGTGAAATGTTGTTATATAAGGATTTTTTTTTTTTTTTGAAAATAACAAAGCAAAGAAGTTAAATTAGAAATTATTACTTACAAATTAAAGTAGCTTAGCAAGGTAAAATTTATTCCTTTCTTCAAGCCCAAAAGAATATGTAATCTTAATAGGAGAGGATTCAACAGTAACTGCCAACCTAGTAACTGCATGGAGTTTGGATTATTTTCTCAGTTCATGCCATCTCTATTGGGAAAGAAAATTTGCTATTAATAAACTTAATTTTCGTGTAAAATAAATAAATTCTTGGAATCTCATTTATACAGAATTTTTATTTGGTCCAAACACAACTCAAATCGTTGCCAGAATTCTTGCATTATGTCAAAGGGGAAATGCCGCAATTGACTAATTAAGGCACAGGGATTCTACTAATATTCCTAAAGAAAAACCGTTTTATGTTCATAAGTGGAAACATGTTGTTTAATCTGTACCTTTCTCTTTTAACTTTACTATTTCTTTACAGTACTTATTTATTGTAGTGGTATGAAAAGCAAATCCTTTGCTTTTTAGGTTGGCCATCTACCTGGAAACCTCCTTTGGCAAAAACATCCAAACACCTTATTATTTTATTGGTGTACTTGATTGCTTTTTTGGAATTTTGAGAGAAATTGTGGGGCTTAATAATAAAGTAATTAAAGCTGTCAATACCTTTTAGGGTTAGACCTGATATTGAAGTATTCTGAACCACCTCGTGGCAAATGTCTCCTAACTTGAACAAAGACCAAAATCAGAAATTCGACTGGAAAGAATTTTACATCAAGTAATGCTTAATCAAATCTTAGCGTAACATTTATTACAAACATTAAAGAGAAGTGGGTTTATTTATGAGATAGGCTTAATCTCTACCTAGTATATTACGTAATAATACTAATAACAAACGAATTCATAGTCAGAAAAGTATATATAACCTAACCTCTCAAAAAATACTGGAGCACTCTAACTTAATTAAAAACCAAAATTTTTGGTAATACGACCCTTTTCCATGAACACTTCTCAAAATTAGTATTTTAATTATTTTTTCTAAAATTTAAACTTGCTATATGTCATTTATTCTCAACAAAAAATACAAAATTCCACTAAGATGGCCCTTAAGGTTACCTAGGTAAAGCAAGACGACTATTTGAAAACAAGTTGAGCGACCATTCAAATAATTAACTTAATCATTTGATCTATTGAGTCTAGTAAGAACTTGTTTAAATCATTAATTAAGTTTTGCGTTTAAGGAGAATATTGTCTGGATAAAATTGGATAAACTCAAAAGCACATATCAATTATCATGTTAATAATTTGTAGAACGAGTTTTAATCAGTGGCCCCTTTTTATTAATTGACATGTAATATTGAAGACGTAATTAGATTACATGAAGCCAAGTTGAGAATGGGTTCTCCTTCCGAGAGGGTGACTTGCGCAAGATTAATTTGGCATTCATACGCTATTGAAATTAATTGAGCCAAGTTAGCAGGTTCATAATTCATTAATTAATTTCATCTTTCTTATGTACGTTTGTAATTCTGGTACGTAAGAGTTTCGTCTTGTTTGAAGATTGCTTCGGACCTGCTTCGAGCGGTGCAAGGCGGTCTGTTTCGGTAGTCCGGTGCACTAAGCTCTCGCTATGCGTAGGATCCGGGAAAGGGTCGGGCCACAAAGGTCTATTGTACGCAGTCTTACCCTACATTTTTGCAAGAGACTGTTTCCATGGCTCGAACCCGTGAATCTACATTTTGAAATTAATAAATAATTATATTAGACAAAGGTTTATTGAGTTAAAGTTTTCATAGGTGGAGTTTGAGGTGAATGTTGCTAAAATTTTCGTGCGTTCAGTATTTACATCAAACAGTTTAAGTGACAAATATATAAGTATAAAATTACATGTATTATATTCATTGATGTGATACAAACACGAATAAATATTTACTTCTATTTGCTTAATGTCATATAAAGGTTTTTTCTTAACATTTTAAGACATTGTACTATAACTTACGCAGTACAATAATTTTTCCCCTATAAGAGACTTTTAGTATGTCGTTATCTCCATAAGTTACCTGAATAATTACATCTATTTATATACACTCTTTAATCTGCTCTTAAAATATTATATCCCATTTTAATGTAATTATATTATTACATAACTTTTATCTCTATTTATTTTAAAAATTTATGTACAAGAAGACTAAAAATGTACCAGATTATTTAGTATTGTATAATTAAATTCACAAAATTATACGAACTATATACTCAACCATCTTTAAAATAGGTCACCAAAATTTGGTAAAGTCATAAAACTATCTAGCGACAATATATGAAATTAATCCCATTTCCAATGCTAAAGAATTAAACTTTTACCAACCAGAAACATATTAAAGAGAAATATTTACACGGAAGAAAAAATACGTACCTCTTGGCTTTTATGCGTGGTCAATTTCTTGCCACAGTACGTGCATTATTGACTTTATCTTCCACAAAAAGTTCTTTTAAAACCATGAGTGAGCTTTAATAGCTTTAGAAGGCTACTGCATGCAGGGAAGGTGCAAAGAAAGAGTACTGGCTTTTCTTTGAGGTATATATAACACCCTAGACAAATTTCATATTGATAAAAAACACGAAAAAAATTAAAATACATGTCAAATACAAGCCTTTAATTCTAGTGATCATATGATGCATTTTAATTAAAACTGTGCGGAGCTAAATTAAATAGGATAATATCATTAGTGGGTTGATAGTTCATCTATTCCTGCCAAGATTTGCCCATACTTTGCGACTCCGTTCGAAAAGTAAAATGGCCTGAAAAGTACTTTTTGTAAAGAATAGCAGAAGAAAAATATTATTTGGAGACCTTCTGCTAGCCCAAGATCGTTAACTAAGATTGGAGGATTCAACTAAAGAAGAGGAAGCTTGAAAAAAGAAGATAGATTTTAGATAGAAGAACTTGTTTTGGAAAGAAGGCTTTCTTGATTTTTTTTTGCTTGCTTACAAACGAACAAGATACCCCCGATTTATACTAGCCTATGAATGATTCTAGATAATGTACAAAGAAGATTCTACCAACTTTATCTTCTAACAATACTCTAGAATATCTAGATATGTCCACTCGATAAATATCAAGGATACTAAACTAGGACATTCTAGAGAATTCTATATTATTCCAAAAAATTAACTTTATTTTTTTTCACACTCCCCCTTAAAGTGATTTTTTGGAAACTACTCCAAGCTTGTCACGGAAGAACTCGAACGAAGCTTTAGCAAGTGACTTGATGAAGATATCAGCGATATTCTCCTGACTTCTCACTTCCAAAGTATTGATAGTTCCATCAAGAACCTTTTCCCGAACAAAGTGATGTTTCACCTCAATGTGTTTAGTTCTTGCATGAAATACTGGATTGTTTGCAAGCTTGATGGCACTTTGATTATCTCCATAGATCACAATTGGCTTTGATATAGGTAGATGAAAGTCTTCAGCAAGTCTTTGTAGCCATACACATTCTTGAGTAGTGAGAGCAGCTGCTTTATACTCTGCCTCCGTGGTTGACAAGAAAACTGAGTCCTGATTTTTGCTACACCACGAAATACTTGTTCCATCACAAAGAAAAATATAGCCCGATGTTGATCTTCGGTCATCCAAATCACCATCAAAATCAGCATCCGTATAACCAGCTAACACCAAATTATTCTTCTTCTGGAAGAACAAGACCATGTCTGATGTTGAGTTGATATACTTTAGAATCCTCTTTGCAGCTTCTAAGTGAGGCTTTCTTGGCCTTTGCATAAATCTGCTGATATATCCCACCGAGAATGCAATGTCCGGCCTTGTAATAGTCAAATACAGGAGACTTCCAACAAGAGCTCGAAAAGGCTTGGGATCTGCAAGAAGTGAGCCTTCGTCCCGCCTTAACCTTGTGCTTATCTCAAGAGGAGTAGAACATGTTTTGCTTTGCTTCAATCCAAACCTGTCAACAAGTTTCTTGGCATATCCTTCTTGAGTGACAAAGATCCCTTTGTTCATGTTTGTCACCTCTAAGCCAAGAAAATGGTGTAGTTCTCCCAACTTCTTGATGTCAAATCTTATGGAAAGCTCATCTTGAAGCCTAGCAACTTCATCTTCATTGTTTCCTGTTATTATCATATCATCCACGTACAAAAGAACAACCATATGCAAGTCTCCTTGTTTTTTAACAAATAAGCTAGGATCTGATTGTGATGCATTATAGCCACAGAAATGTAGATACTGAGCAATTTTTCCATACCATGCTCGTGGAGCTTGCTTGAGGCCATAAAGGGCCTTCTTAAGTTTGCAGACATGATTAGGATGTAAGTTAGAGACATACCCGGGTGGTTGCTCCATATAAATATCTTTGTCAAGCTCTCCATATAAGAAAGCATTCTTCA